TGTAAATAACATTCTAAAAACATTCTAAAAATGCACATATACATAAAGTTATAATCAATATCAGTTATTCCAATTGCTTTATATCTGATTCCTCATCACTGCAACCGCTGTCATCGKGCAATATGGTCAAAACTACTGATTCCATTAAGGCGTCCCTAAGGATTTCTTTTCGGTTATCTGAATCTTRTATTTTTTCGGTATGCCTTAAACAATTTTCTTAATCCTCTTTGGTTATCGCCAACGCTTCATGGGAGTCACGCTCGATATCAAACATCTTGAATGTATTTTTTTTTTTTTTGCTTCTTGACACTTGACTTGGCCCCAATGGGCCCACAGAAGTCCAATTGCGTTGTATTGGCAGTGATAAAAAGGTAGGCATATTACTCCATGACCTTTTCTAGTGCAATTTGGTCGAGCAAATATTTTTTTTTTCCAGCAGAATTTAAGCTTTATTTTTTTGATGAAGTTCTGGTAAAGTTTCAAACGGATGAAATTCAATATTTTTTTCATTCGACCATTTTTKTACGTCCGATTTTCTCCAATTACTTTTTGGGTGGTTTTCTACCAGTGTGAAATATGACGCATTTCCAATGCAGTGGGGCTSTTCTAGATTGTCCTTCATCTCACGTTACGTACAAATTTCTCGAAGAAATTTACATCGAAGTGCAATGATGTCATTTCTTTCCATCAAAAATGTACGGCCATCATTACATTTCTTATACGAAAATTTCAAATTCTTCAACAAATATTGTGTCGAGCGTAAGCATCCGGAGTAATTGATTTTTTGTCTTAGAGCATTTAGTRTCAATTGTGCAGTTGGGTACTCGCCTCGATCGTAAAACTCGTGCACAGTTCTCCTAACGARCGCGAGGTTAACGACATCAGAATCAATATCGTCGAGCTCCCACACAATTTTTCCACGTTTGTAACCTTTGCGTGGAGACTTAAATACCATAACTGACGTTGATTCTTCGGCTTTTTCTTTTGCTTCGGAACAAATACGTCGGGC